AGGTTATATGCGTGAAACAATAACATACCTGTGACTCATAACCATGTGTCACGTGAAAACCCTTTCCTTACTAAGTCCCGTCCGTGACATTGGGTTAGAGGGTGTGGCTAGTGCCGATGCTTTTGGGTGTTGGTGCTACCTCCTTTTTGGCTCCTGGCTTTGGCTGGTAGCCCCCCCTCGGCTAGTATGGAGTTGGGGGTGGTGGCTCTGTTGGGTGGCCAAGAGCAGTGGCTGTCTGTCGGGGCTAGGTATAGGCTGTCCTGTGGCTATTGGATGGTTGACCTGTCCGAGGGGCTGAAGGGACTGGATGGGCTGTGTGGTGTCTGATGCATGGAGCTTGGGGGGGGCTGATTGGGAGGGGAGAGGCACCTGCGAGCACCGGTCGGGCATGCGTCAGGTTGGGCAATGTCTAATTAAGTATTTCCGGCCTGCTGGGGCTGTTGAGGTGAAGCTGCTGAGTGGTGTAAAGCTTCTTTGTGACCCAGCCTAGCTGATGGCTACCTGTGCGGATAGTGGGTTGCGACCACCTGGTTGGACTTGTTTGGGTTCTGCGTACTGGGTGTTGTGGGGTTTGTTTGGTTTCTTTGGTTTGACAGTGGGCATGGCTGGTGGGGGCAAGGCACCACGGGTGGAAGATAGGCCCCACTGACCGTTTTGGTCTGTCACCAGCTCTATGTATTTTTTTTTGTTTATGGATTGTGTTTTTTGGGAGACAGGCAGCAGGTACAGGTCCTCCTCACTATTACGCTCTTCTGAGGCACTTGGCAAAGAGGGTTCATAGGGTCGATGGCCGAGCATGCGGATGCGAGAGGTGAACATATTGGTCACCTCCTCTCTGCCATTGTATTGCCTGTAGTTTATATTTGTTTTTAGTTTTGTTAGTTTTCTACTGTGGTGGAGGGTTTGTGGGACGGTGTTCAGACCGGGTGGTAGTGATTTTATATTTTGTTAGACGAGGAACCTGGCTGGGTCGGTCTTTTGCTCGGCTTCAGCTATGCTTAGTGCAGGTTGGCTTCATATCAGAGGGGCTATGGACTTGGACCGGGGCGGGCACTAGGTTGTTTGATGGTCTTGTAATTAGTTCTCCTGCTGGCATGACTCAGGGATAGTAGGTGTGGGACCGTAGACTTGGTTAGCTTAGGACTAGTAGTATACCGGTTAGCGGTATCCCTGTACTGGTAGGGGCTCATCGTATGCCAGTGTTGGCGGTACGAGTTTAAATAAAATTAGATTGACTTCTAAGTACTTTTCCTACTTATTACTTTAACGAATATAAAACACCTTTATGGTCTTGATCTTTATTGGAATGTTATTGTTATGCCAAGAAAAGGTCTTCACGAAGAAGAGTTAGAGAAAACATACGACAGGCGTTCTTGATAGAAGACAAAGGTCTTGTACTATTGGTAACGTTGGCAGAGGCCTATTACTATCGTAAGACTAAGGAAAGAAACAGAAGGAGAAGAGAAGTATCATTCCCCATCGCCAAGAACTAACTATCCAAGGAGGGATCGTTACAAGAGGCAATTAATAAGACTGATGGATGGTATACTAAATATTAATTTCTACTATATATTTATATCTTTTAATTTTTTTTTTTGGTTTTTATGATAGTGAATTGGTGGGTGAGTGTGGTTATTATTGCTGAAGATTTCCCTCTGTTGAATCGCCGTTAATTTTATCTACACATAATAAAATAATCAATCTACTGATGATATAGAGAACAGTAATAGTAACAGAATGAAGAACAATATAAATGAAGTTAAAGTGGAAGATTGAGATAATAATTGAATTCTGACAAGAAAGGATAGTGAATGGCTACTTATGGATTAATAGGAAGTCATCTGAAAGATATCTGTTGGTTGGATCTAGAGTTATGGAGGTTTAAAGTTGGTAACCTAGGAAAGTTGAACTTACGACTACCTCTACAGATACAACCTGCAGATGAAACTGATTATTTTATCGAGGATGGAGGCAATTGGGACCAACTTATAAGTCTAAAAACTCTGAAAATCAGGTAATTACTATTGAGAACAGTATAGTTCCAAATAAGCAAAATAGTAATTATCGAATAGGGTATAGTGGTGTTAGGTGGAGACAACCTGTAAAGACTCAGAGTTGTCTAAGCCAACTAAGATTTGTTTCTGTAGATAGAGATTGTCTAGGAAGGCTTGAAATGTATACTTATTTCGTTTATAACTACTAAGAGTGAAGTAAAGTAGGTAAAGTAGAATAGAATGGTAAAATAATATTATAATGTTAAGGTCTCTTCTCTGTTGCTTGACAATGTCTAAAAGCTTGAGAGATACTTCAATATCTATATTCTACATCTGAGTATTTACAGACTACATCTATCTACTATACAAATTATGTACTTCTCTGATTATAACTTACAACATCGGGTATTCTTCAGAGGTGCGAATACTGAGAGACCCTGAAAACCACCACACCCTCTTTGGTAATTACCATTTTGCTAACCTAGGAACTATACTGTTTGCAATAATTATTATCTGATCTTCCAAGTCTTTAAACTTATGGCCCAATTATCAAGTTGAACTGAGTTGGTCCTAATTGTCTCTGTCATTGGTAAAATGATCAGTTTCATCTGCAGGTTATAACTGTGTAGGTAGTTGTAATTGCAACATTTCTTGATCACCTGATTTTAAACCACCATAACTAAGAATCCAAGTGACAGATATCTTCTGGATAACTTCCTACTAATTCACAGGTAGCTATTCTACCAGACTGGTAGATAATCTCTTCATTAGCAACTCTTGGTTGCTCTGAGTTGTTGAAATTTCTGATTCGTTTTATATGTATATTTTACTTAATAATAATGTGTATTTTGGTACTTGGTTTATGTTTCGGTTAATCCTATATATTGTGAATATTACTACAGCTAGGATATTTAACCTGTCTATTTTCTTAATATTTTATGATAGTGATTAGGGATTATATATATGTTTTCTTTTAGTGTTTGGAATATTTCAGTTACTTATGCATATGTTATGTGCTCCTCTTGGTTATCAGATTCATAATATTTCTGCATACCTTTCACACTATTACGTACATACATATATTTATTTAGATTTCTTTGACAAGTTTCTCAGGGTCAAATACTGTTGCACTTATCTTCTTTCTATGTTTTCTCTATTTTTCTCTTAGTTACATGAGATTATGCACACCTGTATATATAGTGGGTTACTGGCCAACTCGCTTAGGAGAATTAAGAACAAGAACTACTACCAATCTACCTTCACACAATTACCTCCTCCTCGCTTAGCATACTCATAGTATAAACTTCATACTGTGCATTATTCCCGTACAGAGTTATTAAGATTGTACTACTATAAAATTTAATATGGGCTAACAGGTTTTCAATTGCTGTTCTGGTATTGGAAACCATTCCCCTAACCACAACATATTCCTGAACCAAGTTGTAACACTCTATGAAGTCCATTGGCTTCTGTGATAGTATTTCTTGGAGTTTTATACTCTCTAGTTATCATAGAATAGGTGCAAATGTATTGGTTTCTCATTAAGATCCTTTAACATTAGTTACCATATCTTTGTGTAAAAATGTCCTGTTACCTACGGTCTATGGCAAAGATGTCACATGTTTAAACCCTTGTAACTCTCTGAGTAATTGATGGATTTACTCTGTTCTACTTTCCAGACTTAGCCGAAGCTCTACTCACATATATGCTATGAATGGGATCTGGTCAGACAAACAGCAGTGATGTATATGGTATTATCCTCACACCTTCAATTCTGTAGTATTATACTCACAGGACACAACTGAGATTAATATGTATGATAACGCGCAGGCTCCATTAGGGGGCTAAAGGGGGTGTTTAAAACCAGAGGTTCTATTCCCAAGTGGTGTTATCCTACTCAGGGTGGTTCCCAGGTATCAGATCCCAGTACTCCTAATGGGTAGTTTTCAGGATCTCCAGATATTTGCATCTTTGAAGAATATCTGACGTTGCGAGTTATAACCAAAGAGGTTTATAGTTTTTATAATAGATAAATATAGTCTGCGAATACTCAGATGCAGAATATAAATATTAAAGTACCTCTTAAGCTTTTAGATATTATCAAGCAATAAAGAAGAGACCTTAACAATATAATATTGTTCTTATAATTCTATTCTACATTACCTACTTTACCTTACTCTTTGTAGTCATAAACGAAACGAGTATATTTTGAGCCTTACTAGACAATCTCCATCTACAGAAATGAATCTTGGTTGGCCTAGGCAACTCTGAGTCTATGTAGATTGCCTCTGCATAACAGATTCTCTCATATTTTTAGAACTAATCATTGGAGGCTCCTCGTACTCTAAGAGTGCTTAATTGCAGATATTTTCATCTGCAACTACTGGTACTAGTGCCATATTATTGGATTTTATAACATTACTTTATTTCCTCATAATGTTGAGATTGTCTAATGTCTTATATTTCTGACTTTTCCAAGGCACAAATTTCCAAATATTTTGTATCGTAAACTCTAAGTTGACATCATGGCACAAGGATTGCTTATTCGAGTTCTTACCGTATCACAGTCTAATACTAACATCAGAAGTCCGGACTGGTTTCCTTGGAGTTTCGTTGGTGTTAGTCTACGAGACTCAAAAGACTTGAAAATATATTCTCCCTTTTTTACAGATGCAACCTCGGTGGCTAGGCCATTTGAGGCTCTAGGTGTGGTTTCTTACTCATTGTTATCGTGTCATTGTGGTCGGATATCGTGGTTAGTATAGTTTCCAGTGTTTCTTGTTCCTGTCTTCTAAACTCGCTTGTTTTCTGCTATCATGTTATTGTCTCTATCACTTTTCCAATTTCATTGAGACGCTGGGATACTTTCTTGGGTACCTCCTTTGGTAGATCTGATTGGCTGATAAAGTGATCCCAGCACAATTTGTCTTGGATTTTCAGCCGATGGTTGCACATTGTGATGCGGGAAGACCGAGACAAGCCACCGCTGCATTATTTAGGCCGCCCAACAGATCCATCAGCGTGCCGTTTGACTTGATTCATGCTTGCCGTTAAGGTGCTTGGAAGGCACAACAACCGACGATTCAGTGGGCCCGATGGCAGATAACCAAGTGTTTGTTCCCTCGTCATTGATAAGGCGCTACTTCTAATGTGGTACTTTTGGTGATTTAGTGAGGTGTTATCTCTGGAGTGTGATGGGAGAGGAGCGGTCTTCTCGTCGGCGATATTTCAGATAAATGCAGAGAAAGGTACAAGAACCTTTTACATCCACGGTGACGTCCTCTCCCAAAATTCTCAACCGTTCAAAAGCATAGTGGATGGCAACTAGGAGGAATCAGTCAAACGCGAAATCAACTTGAAAGAGTGGGATGCGGGCACAGTTGGTCGTATGATCGATTACCTCTATCTAAGAATTACACTTGGCAGAAGGGTGGGGATTTTAAACCCGCTCCTACTAAAGTGGAATCGCCTATTGTGGAGTTCCCCACTAGGGTAGCACGGCCTTTGACCCCCATTAGCGAATTAATAAAGTACAAGGACACTTGTAATTTGTCTTATCAGAACTGGATGCTACGCCCCGAATGGCACGACTCTGGACCCGAGGAATTACTTCTGATGCACGCGAGGGTTTATGCTTTGGCAAACTACTGGGCAATTGAAGAGTTATCGGAACTGGCACTTAATCGTCTGCTGTTCAATCTGCAGGCACTTAAAGCTACTGAGTACAATCCTGTGCAGGTCCGATATATCGTGGAGCTCATATCATATGTTTATGAGAAAACATGCATGCGCCACGGAGAGCGAGAGCCAATGCGCCAGGGGGTAACGAGGTTCACGGCATTGGAACTTACAAAGTTGGACTCCGAGGGAGAAATCGCTAGACTAATGGGCACCTATGGAGACTTCGCTGACGACCTATTGTCCGACCTAACCAGGAGAATAAAGCTTGCTGAAGTTTGGGGCGGGACACAACATAGATACTTGGCTGGCATTGAGGTTTGTTAATTTAATAATAATGGATGGAATTTCTCGTTTTTTTCCAAACACTTAGCACTAGCGCTAACGCTAATGCACAAAAGATACACGTAGGGTATTCGCAGCCACCTAATTGCATACAGGAGTATCAGTGGGGAAGTCCGAACATTAATTTCGGGACGTATTCTAGGTGAGAGCATATCAGAATTGTCTTAGAATGTTGCTGGTCCGAGTGCTAACATTCGAAAGCAATGGATAGGCCAGTATGGCTAGTACCCTATTATACAGAAGATGTCTATAAAGCCTGCACCTCGTTTAAGCTCGTTACAAGTGAACAGGAGGAATATGACCCCCGGTTCCGAATTCCGATAGCTCCCGAACCCTCCAACTTCCCTTGTTTGATTTCTATCTGCGATAGAAATATCGGGACCAAGGTTTCTTATGTCCAACTATTGCGGGCGGCCAGCGCCGAGCAGAAGGACCTCATACAGAGTCAGTGCGGGGCTGCCGGTGCTACGAGTCATATTGTTAGCTCCGCACTCCATGGGTATCTTTTTCTGTTGTGGAAATAGCTTGGCTTTGTGTTTTTTGCTATGCCTAACGGCCTTTGCAGGTATCTGCTCATTGGTCTTGAGGGGTGTGTTATGGATGAGGGTCATTTGGCGGGGTTATCGTTGCCGGTTGGGGTGAGGTTCTGTTTTGGTTGTGAAGGGGTGTACCGGGTGTTTAGTTTATGCACTTTATTCTTGAATTGCTTCTGCGATACCATTACTACATTGAAAATCTTAAGCCCAACCCCCAATAGTGGCCTGTGCTAGGAGGTATATTCTTCTATGGAATTTCACGCCTCGGAGAGTGGCAATGTAGGGATGTTAGGAACCGGGAAGGACAAGTCGTGGTACCTGTGTTTAAAATAAAAACTAGAGCTCATGTTTTGAACACCTCCCCGTGCCTCCACCCCGACTACTACAGCACTAGCTATGTTTCACGGAAATAGTGTACAAATTACTAATTCGTGGTATCGGGAATTACTAAATAGTGGCGGGTAACAGAGCCGAGAAAAATCCCGGTTTGCAAACAATGGGCAGCCGCTACGATATCTACAACGCGGTATGCGTAAATCAGTATCTCAATATCTTAAGAGGTCTCAGCATCTTTTCAAAGAACACACGATGAACCAAACCCTGCGTGGAACCGTGACAGGGTTGATGTGTCTTGCTCGAGTGGAAGAAAGGACACCAATATGCCAGACAACATTCCGTCTACTCCAGCCCAATATTCCATGGGACGTAATACATAGGTACGATAATTAACTGGAAAAATGGCGGATTATTAAGCGCCGTGCGGGAGGAATATGCTACTAGCCCTATCCACGATCAGACGGGAGATCTCCTGCCTGGGATTGGAAATTCAGAATCTGTGCATGGGATTATCTACTCCCGCGGTGTGCGTCCGTTAGTTAATCCACATATACCACCCCGGGGAACCAAAGCACGGATGCAAAACTTTAACCCTACTCTACCGGTTTATTCCAACCCTCTAGACCAGCCGTGAAAAGCATTACCACGTCTTTGCTATATATATTCTCCTTCAGCATTGCAGACACATTTGGGTTAAAGATTGCGCCAGACTTGGGCCCGACTGAGGGTCTCTCGGCTTTGAAAAATAGTGCGCGGAATAGCGCCAAAGGGATTTCCAGGACTTGCAAGCGTTAAGGGATTATTTTTGTACAGTTGGATTTCATACCTAGGCTGCTGCAGTGATGACATATTACCCTCAAACCGGCTATCCAGCCCGCCCGCCCGCCACCTACACCTTCAAGATCAAGCTTCCCCATAGTCCCCCAGCCCCACCACCTGCCCCAGTTCCCCCAGAGGGCACCCATCCGCAAGATTTCCGGCATTCTTATTTCATCTTTTCCCCTTCACACCTTGGGGCTCGGGCGGTATGGCTCCCCGAATGCATTCCTATTTGCGATACCCCTATGGGGGGGGGAGAGGAAATATTATATGCTGCGGATATTGAGCGATATACTGTGAACTTTACCTCTTCTGACAGGTGTTAAACGCGCAATATAAACCTCGACCCTATTGTAGCGAATCACTAGCGTTAAGGCTACAATGCGCATTGCCGGAGGGTGCAGGTCACTACAAGTAAGCCTCCCCCAGAAAGTGGGGAGAGCAAGATAACAAGTATCATACCTAATTTAAGCAAAGGCTTAATAATATACTCTAGCTACTGCGCCCTCCTGCCACGAAGAATTTAGAAGAGAAGGTGTGAAGTCCTTTGCTAGATGGCTAGAAAAAAGATGAAAAAATTCATTTTATCCCAACAACGCCAATCACTGGCAAGACAAGTCGCGGCACGACTCCCTCCTGCGGGGATATGCTTCCATGCCATGGAAGAATTGCTCTCGCCAGGGTATACACTGACCACCGTAGCAGTATCCTCGGAGGATGTCTGACTTAAGGGTACGGAAGCATATTAAAATCTATACCCACGACCCCAAGTGATGAGACGTGAGGGTATGTTTCCCGCACCCGGATATGCTATCAACCGAAGTTGGCGTCATGTACCGATTTGGTGCTGTGAATTTTGGAGCGGCACGATAATTATATCTACGGAAATGGGTATTATATTATACGTTGGATGCCAGGTTCTTTTGCTGTTTGATTGCTGCCTGCTGCTGAGTTGCTTATATTCCCGTAGTTCTATTGGTTGGTATAGATCTCTGCGCCATCCGGCCGATGGAGTAATCCCATTGTGGTATTTTGAGATGTGAGGTTGGAGTACATTGATGGGAATGTATCATAATATCATAGATCGGTCTGGTGCCCAAGGGAGCTAGTTTATGGTGGTGATAATATGGGAATTGCCCTAATATTTGAGTATGCGGTGCTTCTTGGCATATGTCTAGATTGTGTATTTATGGTCGACTATCTCCCTGTAGCTGAATAGAACGAAGACTTGATTTTCTGAACACTCTTGTTCTATATACGACACTTCCGCGTGCGTTCGATCGCCCAATATATAATGCATCACCGACAGACTAACTTACAGCTTGGAGACGCTTCCAGATATCTCCTAGTAGGGTAAGAGGGTGATTACCTATCACCGGAATTGGGCTATGGGACCCCCAAGACGGGTATTCTCAACCATTCTTATAGTACGACAAGTGATTACCTGTGTGGGAACCATACGGAGCGTAAAAATGTCAAAGCACAAACTGTACATATAAGTATTTCCCGAGTCTGATAGTTCTGGAAAATGATGTACTGTACTTAGGTATATATCACTAAAGGCCCCCACAATTTAATTCCTCTTAATACGCAAGTATTTTTCTGGCATTACTATAATATAAATGAATGCTCCAGAAACAAAATAGCCTTTTATTATCATTGAATCTCCTGTTTATACAATTTCAGTTTACATTACAAACAGCTGTAAAGTAACAGTTTAATAAACATTAACTGCCAGTAATCTAGAGCTTTTGTATAATATAATGATATTTTATTTACAACTCTTATATTCAATCATACTATAAGATAAATGTGAAGTAGGTAGTAAAATCAAGAAGGATGTTTGACAATTATGATTCATCTCATAAATGGCAATTTCTAACACCATTAGATCTTGAAATTATGTAGTATTTGGTACACTGGCATAAAGATATTATCATAACTTCAATATCAGAAGTATTTTGGTTTGTAGGATTATTATATTATTTAAACAATAAGTGATTACCCATGTGGGAGCCATACAGAGCATAATAGCATCGCAATACAAACTGTACACATAAGTATTTCCTAAGTCTAATAATTCTGAAAAATAATGTACTGTACTTATATATATATAACTAAGGGCCTGCACAATTTGATCCCTCTTAATATACAGGTATTTTTCTAGTGTTATCATACTTCTAAACTGGTAATTTTAATAGCATGCTTGACATTTATAACTCTTAGTATATTGCTAACAGTTGTCACGAATGTGGCTTAGTGAGGAAAGGGTTTTCACGTGACACATGGTTATGAGTCACAGGTATGTTATTGTTTCACGCATATAACCTATTCGGGTTGTATGATTAGTTATGTGTGGGATTTGTGATGCTTTCGCACATGGCTCAAGTATGAGTCATGGGACATGCGCCTGACAAGTATGCCTTACGAGTATGCCTTACGGGCAAGCCTTGCGCATATGATTTATGTTTCGCACATGTCCTCATTATGATGTCATGGGTTTCGTGCATATGACTCAGTCGAGTCATATGACTTATTTATTGCGTTATGATTGGTTTATGAGTTTTGCACATGACCTCGCTATAAGGTCATGGGTTTTGAGCATGTGATCACTTTGGTCACATGACTAGTTTGTTTTGATTTGGTTTTGCACATGTGACCACTTTAGGTCACATGATTAAAGGCGGGAAGAACACTATATAAGGAGGCGGATGCGGCCGAGGAAGATAGGTTCTTCACGCTTTGTTCTAAGTACTTTTCCTACATATTACTTTAACGAATATAAAACACCTTTACGATCTTTATCCTTATTGCAACATTATCGTTACGCCGAGAAGCACTTGTTATGAAGACGAGTTAGAGAAAGCTTACGATAGGTGTTTCCGATAGAAGACAGAGGTCTTATACTATCGGTGACATAGGCAGAGGCCTAGAGCTATCGTAAGACAAGGAAAGAAAGGGAAAGGAAAGATAAGTATCGTTCCCCATCGCCAAGAACTAACTATCTGAAAGGGGATCGTTACAACAGTTATCTAATATACTTTAAATATATCAAGAGTTTAGTTTCTAAATACTTACAATACAACTAATATCTTGAATAACATATTTTCTTATTTATTAATAGCTTGTTTAATTTAATTACTTATATAAAATTAGTATATAGTATATTCTTCTATTTATCACATATTAATGAAATTAAAATCAAGGTATTTTAACCTATTATTTGGCTCATAAACAGCTCTAACAACCAATTGATACAAAGCCTGAAAGATTTTTTACTTTAAGTTCTAC